GGCGGCCGGGTAGCGCTGGCCCAGCGCCCCGCCCCCGCCGTCGCGAGCCACGCCCACCGCCGCGCCGCCGCCCTCCTTCGCGCCGCGCGCCTCCTTGGCCTTGGCGAAGTTGGGCACGCGCGCGCGCAGGCCGCAGTAGTACGGGTCGTCTGCAACACACAACCACACACACACATTAGACACACAAATATTCACCTCCTTGTAGAGAGGAGTTACTCTAAGAAAGGACCACAGGCCAGGAAACAAATGAACGACATGCAGGGCGATGACATTCCAAGAGGTAGTGATCAAGCCACTTACAAATGAGCTAAGTGTAAACGAACACACTGACAAAATGATTACATGGACGTAACTCGGAGTTACACTGCAAGCAGTGGCCAAGCAGTAGCTGCCAAAGCGGTCCCTTTTTATCGTAATCTCTGTATCCTCCACATCCATCGCAATAAATGAGTCTGTACTGCCACCATACCCCATCTTCACTTTGACTATGAATATCAAAATTCATAATTTGTATAAAAGCTTATTTTAAATTCGTGAACACATAGTCTTCAGAAATGTTAATTGCATGTACCATTCGAAAATACTAAAATGGCGTCATCGAAAATTAAATATTTTCCGTGACAAGACTCATCGGAACAAGTTCGACAGTGCAGTTGAGGTCTCCATTACATTTTTTAATGCAAAAATCTCAAACCTTCTTCCTCGACTTGTATCTTCATCAAGTTATTTTGTATCATTTCCATTGAAAGTTGGTCATATATGAAAATATATTTCAGAAAATTCTGTATTCATTATTTAGTATGTTAAATTAAATTTTACGTTTTTACTTTTTTTGCGTATATTCTCAATATTTATTATGTCCGCCCATTAACTCTTTTCAATTTCCCTTTAATGAGTAATTTATTTAAATTATATTGATCGCCTTTCGTTGAGAATATGCACTTCTTATAAAATAAAAATGAAACATGCAGGTATATGTGAACAAATATTAAATATTACACACAACTTGCGTTGCCAAATATTCTTCTGGAACATCAGAAATCAACTTATTATTATACTTAAATATTTATAGTTTACAAAAATACGTACTCATGTCAGTGTTATTGCCATTACATGATCTTTGGTTATGATATTTGATGAATGACTGTTGATCATTGAATTTTGGTTTACAATAATCCTCTAATACTTATTATTACGAAAGATACCCGTACTAATCTATACTTTCTATGTACCTTTCCTTTGTTCAGTAACAAAAGGGAAGTTTTAATGAATATATATTTCCATTCCTACATTAGTATTGCCATTCCAATCTGCTTTTGTGTCGTAAGAGGTTAGGACAACTAATCAGTATTTTTCGACATTCCTAGGACCCTCTGTAGCAGTTTCAGTAAACATAAAAGATTTTTAAGCATGTTGAATAACAAGCCGAAATTATCTCGTATTTATTTCAGGCAAACATTCTTTACGAAAGTAATCCGGAAATTTCCAGTTCTATGTCCTTAACGAGTATCTTGCTTCATTTTCCCTTTCTCGACGTTTTTATGGGACAAGGATTCAAAGAAACCTAGAATTGCTGTTTTGTTCATTTGAGCTCCCTGGGAAGAAACGCTGAAAATTGCATCGGAAATGTGCAGCGTCAGCACTTTATTCTCTAGAATCGGAATTCGCTTTCACACAAATTTACATTTTTGCTTAATCGTTTTTGAGCTACTGGTGCAAGTATATTTTCTCATGAAATGAAAAGGCTATAAATTAAGTTGGCAATACAAAGTACAGGAAATACGATTTTGAAAGCAAAAAATTCACAATTAATGAAAAAGAAAATGAAATTTAAATCTTCATAATGGATTTACGAACGGATTAAGGAAGTTTGCCTTGGTGAGATTATAAAGACATCTGAAATTTTGAAGGTGAATATAAAGCATTCCAAGCTTAGCCCTGCCGACAAACTTTTGTCGTCTCGAAGATGAATCTGAATAATAAGACTTAATAGTAACTTTCTAGAATACATCTATCTCACAGAGTATGTTTTAAAAGTCTATTACTGGTTCAACAAAGTTAAATTAAGTTATATTTCCAACACATACAGACAAATTGAGTACTCTGTTTAGCATTATATACATTTTTATCTCGCGACCCATTTAAATATATGGAGTACATTTTAGTCAATACGACGTAAAAACTGGGTTTTCAAAAATATCAACTCCCAGTATAGTGTGTTAGTTTAAAAAGCATAATTTTAAGAAATTCATGAGTAACTTGTTAGAAACAAAAACATAGTTTGTCATTGCGTAATAATTCATAAAATATCATTAAGATTTAATGTGCACTACGAGTATATTATCAGCAGGAGAATATATTCCCAATTAATTTGAGAAGGAGGGCGTTTCAATGGAATATAATTTGATATTATTTAAAAATATTTCTCTAAAATCCCTCATGATCATAAAAAGTCGTTTATTAAATGATCTAACATTGCATTATATATATTTTTTCTCCCGAAATAATATTTTATTTTATTTTATTCTATTCAGTGCTTTTTTTATAAACTTTAAGGTCCCGGAAAGCGTTTCAAATTAATTATTGATTGAATAGAAAGTGTTTTATTTATAACAATTTATTAATTATAAATTATACCTAGTAACAATTAGGAACAGTTGTAGCACTGACTATGTTAATGTAAACATAATAATAGAAAATAACAAAAATAGTTTGTAATGAAATGTGTTTTATAGCTTTTTACTAATAATTTTAATGTGTTCTTAGAAATAATATAGTCAAGAGGAAAATTATTTAATTTTGAGCTTACGAAAGTTGAACGAACTAAAAAATTGAAGTTGTCAAGTGTTTTTTCTCAGCTCTTTGTTTATTTTTTGCGTATTCTGTTCCTGAGGAACCGGAACGCCGTTCCTTCGTGTTCCGCCAGAAATAAAGCCCTAAGAAAATTGTTTATTTATTAATATAACTTGTTTTATAAGTTCATGATTCCGATACTTATGGCTGTCCCTGGACCCGCCTCCCCAGAGCGAAGTGGCTCTTTGTCTGGGCTTGCCGGGAGCAGGTGATAGCAGACGTCGCGTCGCCGGCGGCAGCGTGGCGGCTGGCGGCCTCGCAGGTTTTGCGGGTCTGCGCGGCGCTCGTCTCTTTGACGGACTGTCGCGGCCAATGCGACGGCATTCCGCGGACGAGCCGCTTCGATCAGGGCTGTCCAGAGGCCGTCTCCACTCCATCGACTGAAGGCGCATAGTTTGGGGCCCTTTTGTACTTCATATCACACTCGGAGAATGCATATTTTGATGGTGAACATCAATTAACTTGGCGTTTTGGTTTCTTTGTAGTTCAAAATTCCAAGAATTTGCAACTTATTTTTAAAATATGTATTATTGGGCGATTAATACAAAAAAGGAGGAATTAATTAAAGGACCTCAATAGCTCTCTTTATTTGCTCAGTCTTTTTAATATTGGAATTAACTAGTTCTTTTACCATCTTTTTTGAGTTTTCAGATGATAAAATTTGATTTTTCTTCGTAATTTAAGAAAAATATTTAATATAAAAAACAATATTTTAATATATCCCCTCTTTCATGAAGCACATAATTTTACATTGTTTTTTTTCTTCTTCTGAGGCAGGTTCATGTCATGACTTGCCCATTCTGAATGGATGTTCTTGAAGTTAGCCTTTTACTTCGCTGCAAGGCAGATTATTGTCCCATCAATGGACGATTGATGCGAGACCTCCGCTAGCGAAAATTCCCAAAGTGGCATTTATAAGGTGTGTGGGGGAGAGCGGCGTCAATATTCGATCACCGCCTGGGGTGGTCTGAATATTGGGAGTCGTGTCGCTGCGCCGCTCTGTTGGAACGGCCTCCTGACTGCCCGAGGTAACGGTTTCGCAAGCAGACGCTCAAACACACGTATTATGTCGATTTACTTATCGAAATTGCGCGTAATGTTACGCTTGGCGGGCGAGTTGCAAAACAACGCCCTAGTGAGTTGTTGGGATGGTTATTTCGTGCGAAGATGACCGAAATGCGTTGTGCGTGTGTTTATTCCGAGAGTTCTTTTTGTTTTAATTTTTATTCAAGCTAGTAAGACTTTCTTCTTTCTGCATACCTAATATTGTTTATATACGAAAAGAACTTTATATTTTATACATTTTTATTTGTCTCTTGGCAACCAATTCGTTTTCTGTTCTTAGCAACTGTCCTCGCTTTCATAACTTGCCAGATAATTTACGCGAATTACTAAGAACTATTATAACTACGATTTAAACAATTAATTGTAACCAAATGAGGTGCATATCAAAGATATTGTTTTACCGGTAAAATTGCGTACATCGAATGAGATATTTGCGGAAGTTCGTTAATAGTTCTGCAGTCTCTTGTTTTAGCTGAAATCATTCTCTCGGCTTAAAGAGACTATAACTTCGTGTTTTGTTGTCATGAGTTGTGGTATCTCATTGAACCTCCCCTACCAAGCACTCATGCTTTAACCATCTAGTTTTCTGGACTCGAAAATCTACAATGCTCAAATTCTCAATGAATAGGTACTTGATACATTCTCAATGCTGCATTTCCATTGTTCAATGCTGCCAACAAAATGGCATGCTAGATTCATCGGATGACGGGTCGTACTGCGGCGCACCTGCAGCCCTGTCTCCGGAGCAGGTTTTCCCGGCGGCGGTGGCTGCTGTGGGGTAGTGGAGCGGTGGAGGACGCAAAACTCGTCCTTGGCCTGAGCTACTCCACCGGCGAGCGCTGCTCAGCGGGAAACCACAGCAGAGATCGATAGATCCAGTACTCCTCCTGAGAGAGCCTACGGCTGTTTCTCCTCAACTCAAGCTCTTTGTGTACTAAAGCACTTGAGCTACTGACTTCAATTTATTTCAGTGGGTATGTTGGCGTCTGATCATGGATTGACTTCTTAACAGCTTGTATAATCTCCCAAGTCTGAGGCGAAATACTAAAATTTGTATTCGCTACTCTTCCTACTTTTTCTAAATAAAATTATTTTTCCAATACATCGTTTATTTAATGCATTTATTTGATTTTATTTTACCTTAAATGGTATTCAGACTAAATTTAACATCTAAATTTTGTTCTTTTCATTTTATAATAATCATTTAATTTATCCCATATGTGTCACTTTAAGAAAGGCTACCTAATATTATGATCTATCGGTTGAAAAAAGCAACAACAAACAAACAAGAGTGCCAACTAACAAGAAAAGTCCTAGTGCTTAGTGTGACTTACCGTATTTCTTTCCGTCCTTGTTCTTACCGCCGCCCCTGGAGTTGGGGAAAGAGGATTTCTGAGTCACCTCGTCATCCACGTCGTCGTAGTCGGGCTGCAACAGACAATGAAGTAGTTTGAAACGTGTTTCCTAGCTATTGGGTCTCACAGGCACAAAACAGCTAATCTACTTGTTGAAATACGGATATTGTGAACGTTCTTGTTTATTGTCACTGTAATCCTTCCAATTCCCTTACATTTCTGTATTTAGTATTTAATTGAACTCATAATATTTTAATGATGTTATTATGGTTGTTGATTAATCTTTCGTATACCTGATTGCTGACAAAGCGGCTGTGGTACCACTTCCAGTAAAGTGAAGTTACGGAAATATTTCACCTGCAGGTGCAGGCTAAAGCATTACTAAAGTAGAAGATACATTTTTGCATTATTCCGATAGAACTCTGACGAGAGTTAACATATTAATTTTTTAATGTGCTCATTACTGAACAAGAAATACAGCTTACATTTTCCTACTCAACAAATTACCCGGCCTAGACAAGGCAACATATTTTTCGCGTCTTATGAAATACACTGGTTTGAAAGCACCAGACTTTGTATGAGCTCGCAGTCAGGTTGTTTGGCGTTGGTCCAATTGTGATCATCTCGCCCCATACCGAAATGGGAGCATCGAGAAGAGATCGTTTCTCATGTTTGAAGGTCTGCTTCACCCAGCCAGTACCGGCGCCCTGAGAGAGTCATAATTTAAACGACGAAACGGAAGAAAGAGTGAATAATGAATGGCGGGTAGGGAGAAGTAAGATAACGACGGAGAGGACGACGCGAATGGCGCAGGTGGCGTACAAGGGAAAAAAGACCACGTTGAGGGCAAAGCATGTGGAGCGAACAGCTGAAGTCTGTTGGGCGAGGGCACGGCAGAAATGGCGCCGTGGACGCGTGGCGTGGCAAGGAAGGCGAAAGTGGTAGTAGCTGTGTGTTGGCCATTCCAGAGCGGTCGCGTTTGACAGCTTCAAGGATGAAAGGAACCGCCGTTACGTGCCCTGCCTGCGCCAAGCAAAGGCACCTGCGACGTACCGGCAGCCGCCATATGAGGGAATAAACACAGTTATTTGCTCAAACGACTCCTCGAAACGACTTGGAAGTTGCTTATGCTTTTTTGCAGCGTAGAAAATGCCCCATCACGTTACTTTGCATATGTTTGAAGTGCTAATTATCATCTACACAGTTTAACAATTACGTAATTATGTACAAGGCTCAATAAAATATACAGTTATGTTAGTTTTGTTCTTATCATTAAGATAAAAATTAAAACTCTCGGTTTTAACCCACAAGTTACATTACTATTGAAAATACTTGAATGTGGGTAACATTTTTTGCAAACGGACCTTCTCATTCCTGAATTCGTGATGAACAGAACATTATCTAATGGCAATTGACAATTGAGAATATTAAAACAGAAACATAAAACAACGAAGTATCGTATTTGAGACAGGGAAGGCAAGACAAATGAGATAAGCAATTGAAGATAAGTTTACTAAGAAAACTGAAATAATATGAAGATGGGATAGAAAGGACATTGACCAAAGTCAAATCAGGGAGTACGTGTACGCTAAGTGCATTGAAAACAACTCAAAGCGAAGGAGTTTCCATAAAGCCAAAGAGGCGGATTCTGAACAACCTAGAGCGGGGGTGGAGTGCAATGAAGAGCACTGGTGGAGGCGTGGGCATGAGCGTGGGCGAGGGCGTGGGCGTGGACGGGGAGTGGCGCTGCCCTGTTATTACCGAGGTGACTGCAAACAGCCGCTGCCCTTATTCAGCGGCGCGGGCCGTCCTTCACGCGGCCGCGCGCATCACCGCCGCCCCCGCCTCCTCCTCGCGCGGCGCGGGCGTTGGCCGCTGGAGGTCGAGAGGCGCCCACGGCCACCGCAGGCACGGCGCCGGCGCGGGGGTGGGGCCGGGGAGCGGACGAGATGGATGCGCTGGGGCGGACGAGAAGCGGGAGCTGGATGGCAATTGCATCAATAGGACGATGGGATGGAGAGGGCGACTGGATTTACTTCCAACAAGATATGAAGAACGAGACGTTATCTTTGGACAGATGTGGAACGGAAGCGCAAACAAATAAATCTCTAGGAATTATGTGAATGCCAGATAGAGTTGGGTTTGAGTCGGATTGGAGTCGGGTTGGAGTCG